TGAATGGTTGTCTGTCCCTGTGTGTTAGCCCTGCGACAGACTGGCGACCTGTCCAGGGTGTACCCCGCCTTTCGCCCCATGACAGCTGGGATAGGCTCCAGCGCCCCCCGCGACCCTGAAAAGGATAAGCGGAAGCGAATGGGATGGATGGATGGATATTATTTAATGAATGCTCATAATCTAATTTTGAGTAATTTTTCATGTACATCTGCTCTATGTTAATAAAAGTGCCTGTGTGACATCTGGGACACAGCTTTGACTAAGAACTCTCTTCTTGTTCTTACTTTATGGCTTAAAAAAAAAAAATATCGAGATATGAATTTTGGGTCATATCGCCCAGCTTCCACCATGATGCACACCCCTCCCTCCCTCTCTCTCTCTCTCCCTCTCCCTCTCTCTCCCTCTCTCTCTCTCTGTACTTCAACAACAGTTTCCTGTCTAAAAATCTGTTTTCTTCATTATTCGCTTGCTTATTACGCACAAGTCTACCGTTGTTTACAGCCTGTCAGCCGATGTTTTTTTTTTCTTTTACTTACTTCCGAAAAGAAAACCTAATTTCTGCTGTTCAACAGGCTTCTGAACAAATTGAAACTTTTTAAAAGTATACAAAATACAAAACGCTGTGTCTCTAATAAAACTGCTGTAACGTCAGAGGTGATGTTCATATGCTGGTTAATGATTTTCGTTCATTTTTGATCTACTGCAGAATATTTTTATAAATCCCAGAACAGGAAAATCACCTTCATGCTTTTCTGTTTTATCTTCAATGACTTTGACACAAAGGCCTCTGCTGTGACGCTCACACCTTTGATAAAGTCTGGAAAGTGTCAGCTTCCTTCTTATAGATACAAAAATATGTAAATGTACAGATCTGAATTATAATATTTCTGACTGTCTGAGGCAAAATTTCCCAGATTTAAATCGAATTGAATCGAATCGAATTGAATCGAATCAAATTGAATCGAATCAAATTGAATCGAATCGGGATCTTGTGAATCGGAATCGAATCGATTCTAGAAATCAGTGACGATACTCAGCCCTAGTCATTATACACTTATGATAAAACACCAGATAGACGTCTGAGCACTGAACAGTGCGTGTTCCTTGACTGACTGATTGGGTCGGGCTTTCTTTGAACTACCAGACTGTGCAGTAGCCACGGCTATATTTGAAGACACCAGCAGCAACCTTACATCTGGACTGCTGTCACCGCAGTAACTGCTGCCATGGTGACAAAGGAGAAGAAGGAGGGAGATGACACGTGCTGTAGTGAAGACATGCAAGCCGTGTGTTTAATAAGCAGCAGATGGAGTGGGGGGTGCGCGATGACTAACACTGGCCTTACTAATGCACTGTGGAGACAAGGTAGGTGTTGTTATTGTATGCTCAAGAAACTGGCAGAGCAGCGAGCCTTAACTGAATCACGCACGTTTTGTTTGCCATTGTAGTGTTTTCCACAATGTAAAATACGAATGTACAGCGTATGCATAGCAGATATGCACAGTCCAGCCACAACACGTGGTTACATTTTTATAAAGCAACTGAAGCTACAGAAGAAAGCAGTGGGACACGACAGAGGAAAGCCCACGTTTGGACTGAGATAACCATTTGCTGTCACCTCGCAACTAAGACTGCAGAGGACAGCAGGGGACATGTGCTCTGGAACAGTTAGAGCAGCAAGATTTATGATATAATGTGAGGAAAATGCATTCCTATTACACAAGCAAACTGATTTTAAATGATTGTGAACTTTAAATGGTTGTGCCCACACAACGTGCATGACACGGCACAAAAAACACAGGAGAAGAAAAAGTGACAGGCAGGTGTGAATTATGTCAGAGCACCTTTATCAGTAGTTCATGTTAGGATCGCCACTCCATCGTAAAGTCGAAATGCATACAGAGCAAGGACAACAAACTTCAATCAAAACCTCGTCTTTCTTTTTTTCTTCATTACATAAACAATCATGTGCAGAGCGGTGAGGGTAGGTGTGTTTGAGCAAAGCAGACAAGACTAAAGAAACCCTGTCGTCAGAACATTAGGATGCTCCCATGTGTCTGACTGGACTCTACTCCCTTAAATACCCCAAACAATGAAGCAGGATCTGTAATTTGGGCCAGAAATACCAAAGTCCCATATTTGCACACAGGCTATTCAAAAACCTAACATTGGTAAAAGAAAGAAATACAAAAAAAAAATCTTCATTCAACTTTCAAGTAATCCAAATAAAACTAAACTCTGGAAATTCTATTATTTTTGTTTAATACAGACACATTTAAAATGTTTCAGGCCGCCCTCTACCTGTCATTTCGAGACGTATTTCCCTGGAGCAGCTTTATAATTCAGGTTATTCTGAATGAACAGCCTGACATCTACCAATTTAAACTTTGTCATACAAAAAGCCCATAAACCAAAATAATTAAAAGGAATGAACGAAGGAATTAGTAGCTCATTTCAAGAGCAAGACCAGGTTGCTGTCAACACAAAGCGATCAGTAGCCCAATAAAAACCAAACCCGAATTAAATACTTAAATATCCATCCATCTGTATAATTGAGCCGTTTGTACATATTAGCGCTATTTCTTACATTTGTAAACTCTCTGACATGTTGCATTATTTAAACAGTTTAGTCTATTACTGTCTTGTTGGTTACTGTCAACTGTAACCCACAGAATTTAGTCAGGGATTAATAAAGCATTCTGATTCTGTCCTCTCTATACCTATATCTATAGAGAGAAAGATAAACTGCCCATTCTTCGATGACTATTACACTTTGAGTCTTTACATTTCATTTCAGTCTATATTCCTCCAGAGTATTTTTAAATCTGTCAACTTCACCAGAAGAAGAAGAAGAGCAGGTTTCAAATGTGTAACATGAGAATGACAAGTCGTAAAAAGTGACAGGAGGAAGCTCTGTCAGATGGGGATGTGTGAGGGAAACTGTAGTCAGACTATATTATACGTATATCGTCATACTGTTGCATATACACCAGCTGTATATATCAAGTCTAGGTCTGTGTTGATTACTTTAATGATTCAGTTACTTCAAGGAAAAACAGACTCTCCTCTGTATCTGCACGAAGAGTCTCCTTTAAGCAGCTATAAATAAACTGGAAACAACGTTGCTATTCTATATTTATTCCCCTGCAGAACTTTGGCTGTTCTTTAGCCTCGAACATCAGACTGATGCTTTTCAACAGGAAACACAGAGCTATAAAATGGTAATGATACCTTTTTATTGGATCAATAAGTCTTTCAGTGGAATGCAAGGCTGAGCCTAATGTGAGGTGAAATGGCCCCTCACTACAACTAAAATCTCTAGCTTGTACTTACAATAAAATCCTTCATACAAAGCTCGTTGGTCACACTGCTAAGGCATAACCGAACTGATTTTGTTGGCTTCCTGGAAACTGCCGCCACCGTTACCCACTCAGAATACGTGGTGTGACATCATTGTGGCTTACCTCTGCGACTTTAGGGGGAACTCCATCTCCCAGCACTTCCCTGTAGAAACACTGCTGGGTCATGTAATAGGAGAGGCCACTGGTTCTTTTGAAGGCATCTTTCAGCCGCTTCAGTTCCACATCAGTGACTACAGAGAGACAAACAGAGATGGGATTACATCAACAGAGACGGAGAGCTGATCTGCAGTTGTTTGCGAAGTCATGCTACAAGTCTGCAAGAGAAAAACAGAATCTACGAAAGACAAACAGTAAAGAAACAAGCAATGGCTACAACAGTTTAAAAACTGTATTAGGACCAAGGTCTGGATGGTCCTGAAATACGTCTTTAATGTTTTTAAATGTCATTGTTTGAAGCTCTGAGAACTAGACGCCAGATTTCTTTCACCTTCACTTCACTAGGACTGCAGCACAACTGTTGGCAGCAACACAGAAAGAATGACTTCCATCCAATTACAGTAAACAGAGGAAGCGCTTTTAATGCAACGGTTAAAATGATCTTCTAACAGAAGCGCCTGAAAAAGAAGTTTAACGGTGTCATGTCGTTAATCCATAGATTAACTCTGGAACAGTTGGTAAAAACGACAAAGCTGCTTACACATGTAGTAGTAACTGTGGCGCTGTAGCGAACAATGTCACCGACTATACACAGCGGTGACAGCAAACTGCTGACTAACGGCTGAAAAGGATCCTGTTTACAGCTTCCATGACCACATTGTAGCTAAATGATCAACAAGATACCAGTAGGTGCCGCTCATCTGATAGGTAAGGGGTCAGCGTGCAGTAAAACGGAATCATTAACTATCAGCTTTCACAGTTCAACAGGGATAAGCTGCAGTAAATTAGCAAATACAAATGTAGGTACATTAGTTAGAAATTGAGGGCACTTTAAAGACTCCATATGAAAAGCTTGTAGTGCTGGGGTTGGAGCCACAGCAGCATGACAGAACTGCTCGACTGGTTTTGACAAATGTCTGATTAGATTGGATGACTGGTCCACCTGCTTCAGGATTGGATGTTGCTCGACAGAGGGTAGCCTATCAAATGATCCAAGCGCAACTTTGATGTTTTCTGAATCAATGACAAACTAAAACAGTGTGTTTCCTGTTGTAGTCTTAAGAGACTACAAATAACGGACGTCCTTAAAGTTGACCTTGTCTGCATTAAAGTGTGGCTTTAAAGAAAGAAACTTTAGTCATTTCAGTATGCTCATTTTCTACACTGCTTATGTAATTGCAAATATACAACTGTTGTTTGTCACAGTACAACATATAGTGAACATGCAGTGAAATGCTTGTGTCCTGAACTGTGGACAGGCTGCAGACGTAGCCACGCCACTCCAGGGCTCGTTTCTAGCATGGGGGTCATAGCCAGGACCCTTACTGGATACCGGGTGGAAATCAAACTTGCAACCCCTGCTCCAGAGGTGTGTAGTCTTACCACTACACTATGCAGCTTCCATTACAGCCATTGCTGCAATTACACCACTTGTGGCTACTTGTATTTATATGCCTCCACCAATCAGAGAGGTTGCAGGTTAGTGTTATGACTAGAGACGGCACGATACCACTTTTTTATGTCCGATATCATAAATTTGGATATCTGCCGATACCGATATGAATCCGATATAGTGTTTTTTAATCAATAAAACTGTTTTTTTAATATCTTGCTGCATTTTGTATAAGTTCATACTCGAGTTTAAAAAAAACAACACTAAAGCTATTCTGTTATACCTGTATGCAAAAGAATATTTCATAGTTCAGCAAAACTGATCAATCTAATGAACTTAAACCTGCACCATCCTCCCTATTCTGGTATTTTAAAGAGTACTTAGCAGAAATATTAAGTAACCTAACTAATAGGGTTGTAAACTCCCAGCAAAAAAATAGGGAACCACCCCCCCTCCACCTCATGATGCTTAATCGACGTAATCAACTTTAATTTGATGCAGTGTGGAAAAATGCACAGAAATAAATAATTTTTCAAGAATAATTAAATGGATTCAACATCTTTCTTCAACAGAACTGCAGACTGCACAGATGGTATCTTCCCAAAGGAAAATGTACTATAGCTTACTAGGGTATATTAGACTTAACAGTTAGTATATACAGTAATGGACTTCTATACATTTTACATCAGATTAAAACTTTGGGTGTAAGATTTGGATAATTATTTAATAACAGCCAGACATTTTAAATGAGAATAAGAAAGAAAAGTATGTCTTTGTGCCCCCTTTTCTGTGCTAACTATGACATAATTACCATAACAGTTATTGGACTATTCTTGACCTTTAAATGTTCATTGACATATCAGCTAAACTTTAGCTCATCCTTGATTCCAAGTGTGCAACAAATCTTGAGAAATTTTCCAGAGAAGCTTATGAGATGTTGATGAGGACGGGATTGAGAGCACTAGAATCTCCATCGTCATTGAGGTATTTTAAAGTCTGATTGGAGAATATGTTTACAATGCAAGATGTTGTTTATATGATGACAAAGACACACCGTCACTGGAGATGGTGGAGACCGAAATAGAGCTTAAAAACAGATTCATGTGGTCAAAGTCAAAGCTAACCATGTGTGATAGATATGCAAACATGCACATCCGTTAAAGCCAGTGATATCTGCACATCCTTTGTAACGTGTGATGATTCGACTTTTTGGTGCACTTAAGGCCAACGTAAAAACAATCCCAGTCTTTCTTTCACACTGTTACATGATTACATTAATACTACCACGCCTCTCTGTCAACGCTCACATTGTTGATGCCGTCTAATCAGCTCCACTTCGACAACTGCTCTTTAATACACGTGTAATATTTTCTGTCACAGCTTCAGCTGAATCAGTTTAATTTAACCCTTCGACAGCACAAGGTCAAAGCAAGAACCACATATGACATTTTTGTTTGCGTCTTATGGAAAACTGCTCATGCCGAGTTCCATCAACAACTCTCTTAAAAGCTGTTATTCCGCCTTTATGGAAACTTTTCTTTATAAGCGTCTCTGAACCACACTCGGGTTTCTGATATCACCTATTTCGACAGAGCCAGTAGGGGCAGTAGTGCTCATGGGGTTTCAGGTTTGACCCTAAAGCCTACCCAGACACACGTGCAAACGCTCATTCACACACACTGTCACCGCGATGTTAGCCGGCAACATTCAGGCATAAACTCATTTTGAGCAATAAACTTTATTTCCAACTAAAAGTTTAAGAGGAGAGACATTAAAAGAGAATCGCTTTTACCTGGATACGTTGGTGTTAGGTAGAGCTGGGCGATATGAGATTTTTTCATATCACGATATGTTTTTTTCATTTCAGGCGATAATGATATCTATCACGATATAAGCCAAATAACTATATTTGTAAGATTTAAATGTGCCGTTGCTCACAAGTAAAATAATCAGCAGCTTGTTTTTATTTAAATATTTATTTCCCATAATAAGTTCAACAGGGTAGATGTACTTAAGGAACATGAGACTTTTTCAGATAAATAAAGGCAAATATTGCAAACTACACAAAAGGCAGCCGCTAAAGCGTTTAAGTTTCAAAATAGAACAAACGAAACAGACTAAACTGTCAATTCCACTTAGAAACAAAATATTAATTCTAAAAATAAATCTTAGTTTGTTTTACAGAAGAACAGACAAAACTGACTAACTTTTGTCAATATCAAATAAACTGAGAACTAAAAGGAAATTCTCAATCTCTCCTTGTTGTATAGCTTAGCTTTTCAAACAGTTTTAACAGTTACTTTAGTCTGACAAAAGCCGAATGACGAATTAGCGCTTCCAGTCAGAGACTGAGGCTACGTCCACACGTACACGGGTATTTTTGAAAACGGAGATTTTCCGTTTTCGTTTTAAAAAATAATCCCGTCCACACATAAAGGGAGAAATGAAGGAAAACGCTGCTATGAACATGCCAAAGCAGCAGGTGGCGCTAGATTCCTAACCGTGCAGAAATGTTGGCCAATCAGAAGTCTAGAAGCCTCGGTGGGAAAAAGTAAACAAAGCTGGGGCATAGAAGCAGAACCCAGTCGTATGTGTGGAGAGACAGTAACTGTGTGTATATGTAAGCATTTAAACACTACAGAGAGTAGAATTAACAGTAACAGTATTGTAGAAATTCATTTCACCGAAACAATAACGTGGCGCAGTGTGACGCATGCACCAGTTTATTGTATTTCCAGACTTGCTTTCGGCACAATTTACAGTGCACGCTACTCTGTTTTTTGTCAGACTTGAAATAGCCGAAATACCTTCACACTACGGAACTTCTATGGCTCTTCCGTTCGACAATCTCTCCGGCATTGGAACCATCATCTGTTTTCTCTTCGGTCACGCTCGGTTGATTTTTCTAGTCGGCACACTCATTTCCTCCATTACCCGCTGGCTGCTTCCCAAACAAACACACGTGCGGCTTGGCACTTGTGCTGTACATAACAAGTCACGCGACGTGACGCTGCGGCTGTGATTGGTTCGGCTCTGCGCTACTTAATTTGGATTGGCTGACCTTTTTTTTTTTTTTTTGGGGACAAGAGCGGCGAGGGCTATTGCGATAGCTTAATTTCTCTATCGAGTAAAAGTTATATCGCGATACATATCGTTATCGTTCTATCGCCCAGCTCTAGTGTTAGGGTGCAACAGCTAATTCAAATAACAGTGGACTACTGTGCCTTTAACAAAAAAGCAGAGCCCGTGCACGCAGGCTAACGACATCCGAGGAGACCCGGAGAGCACGCCTTCCACCGAGACAATGCCCTAAAGAAAGTAACAACACTAAAATTCAAAAGGTTCTTCTTCTGACCATGCCCCACCTCTCCACTAAGTTTACTGAAATGCAGCCAGTTACTTTTACTGTAATCTTGCTGACAGGCCGATAATCAGTAAAACTGAGCCAATCACATACCTCTGACTTCTCTTTAGCAAGTAACCAAGAGTAACTGGACATAAGTCTTTATTTAAAAAAAAAGTAAAAATCAGTTTAACAACAAAACAGAGTTCAAACCCCATTTACAGGAAGTGACGGTGCGGGCGCACACACCATGCATATACCTTGGTTGGCCCAGTAACCTTTGTCATCTCCACAGACGCAGTTTCACTCTGACTACTGTCACACAGACAAAGCCTTAA